CCTTACAAAGAAAGTCTCGTAGAGGGGGTTACGATTATGTGGGTTGGGGGTGCGGGGGCTGCGGCCCCGCGGTACGGTACATGGTTAATTTTGTAATTATGTACCAGGGTTTTCTATTATAAATAGAGATGTAACCTAAACCTATGAGAATTGAATAAACTTTTCTAGCGCCGCCTAGGCACCGAGGACGTAAGCACATTGCGAACCTCGTTAAAATTCTTGTTCTTTCTTCTGTTGCAACATGGATTGCTCATCAATTTTTGATATTTTGGTACAACTAGAACTAGGTGTCACAAGCTAGTTCTAAGGTTCTTGTCAAAAAGAAAAGCAAATAGTATCAAATGGTATAAACATATGGAAAAGTATTACCGAGGTAGGAAATATTGTAAATTGTGGTGTGCAGAAAAGTTTGGTCAAGGAAATAAAAATATGTAAAGGTAAACAAATAAAAGTTGTCTAAGCAAGTAAAAATGTTGAGTTCGATATATTCAGAAAAAACTCACACAATCAGACTTCTAACAGAGCACTTAGGTTGGTTTTACTATGGTGAGAAGTTATTTTATGCTAAGAATGATTTGGTGTTTAGGCTGCCCGATAGGATTACTAGAGTATTCAAGGAAGGTTTCTACAACAATACTACTTGGCATGAGCTATAATCCTTGGTTTATGAAATTGTTGTTATGCAATACCCCTCAACGTAAACTGTAGTCTTTGCCTATCTTACTCAAGTATTTATCCCTTTTAGTCGAATGAAACCCTCTTCTTATCTCTAAGGCGAATTAGAACCTCACCATTCAAGATTAGTTCCATTGTTCATGTAGATCTACCCTAACTCTCTTGATATCATACATCTATTCCAAGAAAAATGGAAATCTCTCGAAAGCTCTTGCAAAGACCATGAATGTTTTATCGAGGCACCATGTAATCTCTCAAAAGCTCTTACAGTGTCAAGGCAAAATATTAAAACAATGGACAAAACAACACTTAGCATAAACAAAGTGCATCATTCATTAACAAACAAATAACGTTTCAACCAAGAAACATCCAACACCAAGTAAAACAATTCATGATGCGAAAAATATCATCCCAAAAATCATTCTTTAAGTACAACCCTTTAAACGATATAGAAATAAAAACAAATGAAGAAAACTACAAAATTAGAGCTCTGATGTGACATTTAGACCACCACCACGCCTGCTCTGACGACCAACCTCTCTCGAGGCCTGGCTGCCGCTCCAATGAAGTCTAGCTATGGAGGGAACCCAAGAATGGTCGAGTGGGTGATGGTGTGAAGTGAGTGTTGCAGTTGCCTACTCCAAGCCTCAGCTATATTCTTCTCTCTTTTTCTCTTTTGTTCTCCTCCTCCCATTTTGAAGAGTTATAATAGGGTATTTATAGTGGGAATTTCTAGGGTTTAGTGCCCTTGGAAATCTCGTAAATACCCTCAATGTTATACCCAGTTTGTGAATTAGAAAGCAGCTGGCAGTGGTCTCCATTAACTTACTAAGGGCATGAGTGCATGTGAGGTTGAAGCTGGGCAAGTGATGTCAGCAGTGTCGTCAGGCTACGTCAGACTTGCATGATATCTCTTGCCTAGGCAAGAAAACATGTTCATCACTGCCATTTTTTGCTCTGCTAGTCCTAGCAAATTGATTTGTCTTGGCAAATAAATTCTTCCTTCGTCATTTCATGTATCTACACAACCAGCAAACAACCTTCATTTTCAGCAGCATCAATTAAACCAAATAAAGTTTGCCTTGGCACAACTTATTCACCACATGGAAATGTATACTACATGCATCTAAAATGCTATGAAAAATGGCTTTTAGACAAACAATAAACTAAGTAAAAAAACCCAGAACACTGTATTTTACGAAGTTATCACACCCCCAAACTTAAGCTATTGCTTGTCCTCAAGCAATAGATAATAAGCGGTAGAAAGATTAAGTGTCACGACAAAGTAAAAATTAGGACAATCATGTGGTTTAACATTTCATCCCTAAAAAGAAGTTTGGCCTCAACATGCAAGACTGTACGAGAAGTTAAGAACCTTTCCCTAGGTCAAGACTCTTTGTCCGTGTGTGTGCGTGATTGTTTCTATTCAATGCTTTAATGTATTTAAAAAAATCCTAAGTAAAATTTTCTGTTTTTCCAAGACATCAAATAATTCACTAAGAATAGTTTCACTCATATTTATTCAACGTGTACTTTCATACTTTGTGTTGTCATTTTTTAGCACTGCCCAAGAGGAGTCAGCTCATCACACCTACCATCCCACACTTTAGATGAAGGGAGCATACCTTCCTCCCCAAGCTAGTCAGGTAGAGTATCCCGTGACTACTTTAATTCACTCATATATTAAGGCAACCATTTATTTAAGGATTTTTCCAGGTTATGCCAACACATAGAGAAGTGTCCCTTTACAGTTACGCTGAGACATTTATTTTTAATTCAACACAATTCAAAACCTTGAGGAGTTCGACATAATATTTTCAATAATTTAATGCAACGACACGTAAAAAGTTCTTCCTTAAAAATTTTCTAAGCACTTTAAGTAGAGAAAACACACAATCGTGTTACAAGATCACAAAACATCAAGTCCCAGTGTAGGCTCTATCCTTCAACAGTCATAAAAATTATGGCCTAGGAAATAAGAATTTGCTTTCATCATCGGGCATCCTCAACCAATCATTATCAAATTCAACTAACTAAGTTTGAGGCACAACACCTCCCCCAAACTTGAAGGGTTTATTGACCTCAATGCTTGAAATATAATGCAAGGGAAATTATGCTAAAATACAAATATAAATGCAAAGAAAATACATTGCCTCATTGTGGTGGAAAAAGTCGACTAGACGCGCGGGTGTTGCGTCGCTTAAGAGGAGGGGCTTGGCTGATCCTGTGTCCTCTAAAGGAAAATAAAATGGAAATGGAATAGCGATGCGACTTGTTGTGGGCTTGAGGTGACGCCAGGTCTTAGGAGGACTTATGGATAGGGGCATCTCCTTGGTTTGGGAGGGCTCATCAGGTTCGTTGACGGGCTAGCTTACTTTAGGGTGGATAACTTGTTCATTGTTGAGATCTTGTGGCTGTTTAGGGGTTGGAATAGGGCTGGGCTTCTTTGTAACTGGTTCAACATCATTAATTAGGAAAAAAAGTTACATCTGGCCCGCTTTGTACATTCATGGACATGCTCGAAGAAGATCTCGTCTATATCGATTGAGCCCTTATAGATAATGGAATGTAACAACATCAATCGATATAGCAACATTGTGGTGTTGTGCGAGGTGGGCTTCAGTTTACCCTTTAAAAAGTGATTCCACAGTTTTGTGATCGGTTTAAGGGTTGGCAATCCACATTGTTTCGGTTGGGAGCATTCCCTTTGAACTTCGCCCAGCCAATACACAAATCCTCCAGCATACCATTGTATGTATCTGAATATGCCTCAAAAAAAAATTTCTTATGTTAATTTTTAACTTTATCGATCTTGAAATATCTGTTGATGGCTAAGGGAGAGAATCGTATGAATTTCCCTCACACATAGACAGAGTGCTGGGACTTGTCTCTCAGATGTGCATAAAACTCCCGGACCAACGCCGGTGCCACCACCTTTGGATGCCGGGTAAACTTTTCCCATTTATGTTTTCGGATAACGTCCATAACTTCTGGCCCGAACGGTTCTTTGTCTCCTGCAGGGAAGATAAAACCATTCTCCAAGTTGACTTGGAATTTTTACAGTGCCTTAAATTTGGTATCCGGCTCAGCACTTTGGAAGCGCTGGAAACGTGTAGCCGTAGTGGACGAAGAGGGCGCACCTGGATTTGACTTAAAGTGAGCCATCTTTCAGATATTTTGGAGATTGCAAAGATTTTGGTCGGTACCTATGGAGGGTTCTGGAGAAAAAGTAAGAAAACAAAATATGAAGATAAAAAAGAAGTGAAAGATGATGGCGAGAAAGAGGGTAAAATAGACGATTTTTAGAGAAGATTGGTGGTTTATTGGGGGTAAAAAGGTAAAAGAAAAAGAAAATGAGATTTGTTTATTAATGCAAAATATTTTTAGGGGATAAATGAGAATAAAATAATGAAGAAAAAAACTTTCCCTCTCAAAAGTTTCATCAATTAATATATTAACGTTTGTTTCCTTCCATTCCTTAGATTCAACCCTAAGCTGCCACATGTCATCTGATCACCAATAGAAACAAAATTAGAAAGTAAAATCGAACTACACAACTCATGCAAAATAAAATAAGGATAAATTATTCATGTACAGAGTGCAAATTATGTTTCCTAGGTAACAAAATTTGTTCAAGAAATAGGAGAAAACTCTTGGGCGTCGTGGAGTAGCGACACCGCTTTATCTCGTAGGATTGGTGCTCTGTTGTATTCCTTTAGCCTTTGACCATTAACTTTGAAAGTAGTTACATCATCCAACTTCGATATTTCGATCGTACCATGGCTATGTACTTGATGTACTATGAACGGTCCTAACCATATGGACATCAACTTACCTAGAAACAACTTGAGCCTTGAATTATAGAGCAATACTTGTTGTACTGGAAAAAATTACCTTGGTAAAATATTTCTGCCCATGCCATCTTTTTTTCTTTTCTTTGTAAAGGCGAGTATTTTCATACGTCTAAGCTCTAAATTCGTCCATCTTGTTTAATTTCAATAATCTTCATTGTCCAACAAGTTGCGCATCCATGTTCAGTTTCTTGATGGCCCAATACACCTTGTGTTCTAATTCTACGGTAAAATGACATGCCTTGCCGTAGACTAACTTGAATGGAGATATCCCAAGAGGCGATTTAAAGGCTGTGTGATATGCCCATAGTGCCCCATCCAACTTTGGCGACCAATATTTTTGTTTAGGGTTGACCACCTTCTCAAGGATCTGTTTGATCTCACAATTTGAAACCTTAGCTTGCCCATTGGTCTGGTGATGATATGATGTGGCAATTTTATGGCACACCCCATATCTTTGTAGCGCATTAGCAATTAATTTGTTATCAAAGTGAGTGATCTCATCGCTGATAATCGCTCTGGGTGCTCTGAATCGTTTACATATATTTTTGTGTAAGAACTTGGGCAAGTCTTGGAGTCATTACGAGGTGTCACCATGACTTCCACCCATTTGGACACATAGTCAACTGCCAAGAGGATGTACAGATCACCAAAAGATGCTGGGAAAGGTCTAATAAAATCAATTCCCCATACATCGAAGAGTTTAACCTCCAAAATATTTTCCATGGCATCTCATTTATGTTCTATATATTCCAGTGTGTTGGCAATGATCATATGACTTATAGAAGTCATGCGCATCCTTGAATAAGGTGGGCCAGTAGAATCCGGATTGGAGGACCTTGGCACCAGTCCTCATCCTACCAAAATGCCCTCTACACGGGGATGTATGATAATGAAATAGAATCTCTTTTTGTTATTCTTTGGGGATATATTTCTAGATTATTTGGTATTCACATTGTTTGAATAGGAATGGTTCATCTCAATAATAATGGCGTATGTCATGTCTAAACTTTTTCCTGCACTAGCTAGATAAATCTGAAGGCATAATACCACTAACAAGAAAGTTAACTATATTAGCATACCACGACACTGCCGTGACAAATAATATTTTCTCATCAGGGAAATCTTCTGAATTTCTTTCATGTAATGATAGATGTTATCATTCTCTAGCCTAGATAAATGATCTGCTACTTGGTTTTCACTACTCTTTCTGTCTCTCACCTCTAAATCAAATTCTTGTAGCAAGAGAATCCATCTAATAAGCCTAAGCTTGGCATCCTTTTTATTAACTAGGTACTTAATGACAGAGTGATTGTATGTACTATGACCTTAGATCCAATAATGTATGCCCTAAACTTATCAAAGGTGAATACCACAACAAGCAACTCTTTTTCAGTGGTGGTATAATTAAGGTTTGAATCATTAAGGGTACGACTAGCATAATAAATGACATTGAAGATTTTACCTTTTATTTTCCCTAACATTTCCCCTACTGCGTAGTCATTGGCAACACACATCAACTCGAAAGAGGCGTCCCATTTAGGTGGAACAATAATTGGTGCTGAGGAAAGTTTTTTCTTTAAATCAATGAATGCATTGAAACACTCTTCATTGAATACAAATGATTGGTTTTGTTGAAGTAACATACACAATGGCTTTGAAATCTTTGAAAAATCCTTGATGAAACGTCTATAGAATCCTGCATGCCCTAAGAAACTTCTGATGCCCTTCACAGTGGTAGGTGGAGGCAAATTCTCAATTACTTCCACCTTGGCTTTGTCAACCTGAATGCCTTGGCAAGAAATTATGTGTCCCAACACAATTCCTTCTGTCACCATAAAGTGATATTTCTCCTAGTTTAGCACAAGGTTGGACTCTTCACATCGCTTCAACACTTTAGATAGATTACCGAGGCACCACTCAAAGTCATCACCGGAGACAAAGAAATCATCCATTAATATTTTTAAAAATCCTCCACCATGTCGGAGAAAATGACTACCATACATATCTGGAATGTTGCCCGAGCATTACATAGTTCGAACGACATTCTCCGAAAGACATATGTGCCATATGGGAAGGTGAAGGTGGTATTCTCCTGATCTTAAGGTGCTATGGCAATCTGATTATACCAGAATATCCATCAAAGATACAGTAAAATGCCTTGCCTGCTAATCGATCAAGCATCTGATCTATGAACAGAAGGGGAAAATAGTATTTCTTTGTCGCCTTGTTGAGCTTTCTATAATCCATACATATCCACCAGCTTGTGACCATTATTGTAGGCAAAAACTCATCATTTTCATTTTTTACCACGGTCACTCACCTTTTTTTTAGCATGCATTGAACTGAACTGACCCAAGAGCTATCGAATATGGGATATATCACCCCAGCATAAAGCCATTTGATGATTTCATTCATTACCACTTTCTTTATTATAGGATTAAGTCTTCTTTAGGGTTCCATAGAATTACTATGACATTCGTCTAGTTGGATCTTGTGCATGCATATGGTAGGGATGATTCCCTTCAAGTCTGTCATAGTCTACTCGAGAGCTTTTTTGTGTTGTAACAAAATATTCAACAAACTATCCTCTTGTTCGTGGTTAGACTAGCATAAATTATAATTGGTAAAATATTGTCATACCCTAGATAAATGTATTTCAAATGTTTCAGTTTTAAGGTAGGTGCATGCTGTAATGAAGGTTTTGGAATAATAAATTCATTGAAATCAAGGGGTTTGAATCTCATACTTGGTTTATCTTAAAGAATAGTAGATGTTTTTGCCTCTAATGAATAATCATCGAACTCTTCATTTGTTCTCTGTTCAGTACATCCTACCTTTGCTTCAGTCGGAAAAAATTTACCTGGGCAAATATTTTTACCTATATCATTCTGAAAAAATTCACTTGGGCCAAACTTATTGTTTCTTTTTGGCTGTAAAACATCGTCAGGGAAAAAAGGTTTACATCCCTGAATCTAGGCAATGTTATCTTTGCATAGAGTATCATATTCGTATAGATGTAAAATTTCTCCTTGACAAAAAATTTATGTCCCGTCTTCTTCATAGGCTCCATGTCTCCAATGCAATGTCATTATTCAAAATCATCAACATACTTAAGTGTGTTGAAGACATTGATAGTGACGCTTTGATCAGCCACCCTCATCGTAAACTTTCCATTCTCACAATCTATTAGGATGCGCCCTAAGGCTAAAAAGGGACACCCAAGAATAATGGGTGCGTTTTTATCGGTCTCACAGTTTGAAATAGGGAAATTGGATGGAAAGTCGAACTTGTCCACTTTAACTATCACATCTTCAATTTTCCCTCGGGTCGAACATGTTATCGATCCACCAATTGTAATATCATGGTGGTTGGTCGAGCATTACCCATTCCAAGTTTCAAAAATATGGACTTGGATATTAGGTTTATGCTAGACCCTAAGTTACAAAGAGCTCTCCAAACATACTTATCACCGATGGAGCAAGGTATAACAAAACTTCCAGGATCTTTTTGCTTCGGCGGAAGTTTACTTAATGCTAAACAATATTCTGTTGTCATTGCAACATTTTCGATTCTTTCCACTTTCCTCTTCTTCATGAAAATATCTTTCAAGAACTTGGCGTAAGAAGACATCTGATCAATAGCTTCGAGTAGTGAAACATTGATGTACAACTTATCAAGGACATCAACAAACTTTTTAAACTGGATCTCATCATTATGCTTCTTCAACCGCTGAGGGAAAAGTGGTGGAGGTCTGATTTCATCTACTACCGATGGGGTAAATCTTTTGCCTTGGCAATAAATATTTTAGAACCTTTTGGTTGGCTTGTGGACCTCGTCATTTTCCTTCTCCTCAAGTAATTCTTCTTTTACAACCTGTTTAGTTTGACGTTCTGGTTCTTCCTGTATAGTGCCTTGGCGATAAATTTCTTACTTCTTTTTCCCAAACTTATCATCAAGAGTGAAGCTTCAAGGGATTTAGAATTTAACGATGATCCATTACTTTTATAGTTACCTTGTCAGAGCATCTATTGATGTTGCAAACTTGAGTGTTCAGAAATGTTTTGATGTTGCAAAATTTGGATGTTGTCACCATCCAGGATTGTATGTATTAGAGCAGGTGTTGTTGTTGATTCTATTGAAATTTTTAGCATGTTAGTTATGGCAGAGTAGAAGCTGAATCCTTACCGTCAAATTCATACGCCCTAGATATTTTCCTACCTTTTCAAGCCTTGTAGATGGGAATTGATAGTCATTATTGGCTATCCGATCGAGGATATCAAAGGCTTCTTCGGGTGATTTGTCAAGCAAGGTGCCATTCGCCGACACATCCAACATCATGCGAGTAGGTGCATGACACCATTATAAAACGTGACGACTTGAGTCCAGTCGTGGAATCCATGGTTTGTGCATTTTCGAAGCAAACTTTTGTATCTATCCCAACACTCATACATAGATTCATCATCGCTTTGGCAAACACTTGCAATGTCATTGCAGAGTCGGGTGTACATATTCGACGGGTTGTATATAAGCAGGAATTTTTTGTATAAGTCACCCTAAGATTCTATTAAGTTGGATGGGACTCCACTCAACCATGCTCTTTCTCGATCGCGCAAAGAGTATGGGAATAATTTTGGTTTCAACACGTCCTTGTGCATATCTTATTGTCTAAATGAGTCGCACACCTCAAATAAAGCACGCACATGCTATCTAGAATCTTCATTAGGTTAGCCACCAAATTGACCGATAGAATTATGCATGTTGAACATCATCGGCTTGAGTTTGAAGTGAGTTTGTCTGTATTTTTGGTGCCACAATTCCAGGGATGAGATCTTCGAGAATAGGATTTAAGTGATCTCATATAGCCCGTGGTCTTACAGCATTTTGGGGAATATTTTCGCGACGTCGATATCTATCTGGTCTTCCATAGTGTTATCAGCTTGATCTTGCAGTCGATTCATATAGTCTTTGGCACACTGAGCATGTCATCTTTGTCTGAATGACTATTCGATCTCAGGGTTGAATGGTATTAATGGTTTGTCAGCAGATCTCCTGGTCATGCAACGAGAAAAACCTACAAAAGAAAATAAGAAAACAAACAAGTAAAAATAAATAAATAAAATGTGACAAGAAAATAAAAATTGCTATGGAAAAAAATATCAAAATTCCTCTAGTTGCCAATCCCTGGCTACGCTCCAAAAACTTGATCGCTTGTAAATGTATGTGCTAAGGCAAGAAAATCTGTGCACGTTTACAGAATCAATGCAAGTAATATAGTAGTAAGTTGAGTATCGTCTTCACAGGGATTGGTAGGAATTTTTGATATTTTCCTATAGCTAGAACTATGTGTCACAAGCTAGTCCTAAAGTTCTTATCAAAAAGAAAAGAAAAAAATTATCGAATGGTATAAACAGATGAAAAAGTATTGTCGAGACAGGAAATATTGTAAAGTGTGGTGTGCATAAAAGTTTGGTTGAGGCAATAAATATATGCAAAGGTAAACTAATAAAAATTGTCTAAATAAGTAAAAAAGTTGAGTTCGATATATTCGAATGTGGTTTTGCTATGGCGAGAAATTATTTTATGCTAAGAATGATTTGGTTCTCTATGCTTAGGCTGCCCGACCATATTACTAGAGTACCCAAGGATAGTTGCTACGACAATACTACTCAGCGTGAGCTACAACCCTTGGTTTGTGAAAATGTTGTTGTGGCAATACCTCTCATCGTAAACTGTAGTCTTTGCCTATCTTACTCAAGTATTTACCCCTTTTAGTTGAATGAAACCCTTTCCTTATCTCTAAGACTGATTAGAACATCACTATCTTGTATTAGTTCCATTGTTCATGTAGATCTACCGTAAATATCTCGATATCAGGCATCTATTCCTAGAAAAACGACAATCTCTCGAAAGCTCTTACAAAGACCATGAATATTTTTCCGAGAGACCAAGTAATCTCTCAAAATCTCTTACAGTGTCAAGGAAAAATGAACAAAACAACACTTATCATAAACAAAATGCATCGTTCATTAACACACAAATAATGTTTGAGCCAAGAAACATCCAACACCAAGTAAAACAGTTCATGGTGCGGTAAATATCATCCCAAAAATTATTCTTTAAGTACAACACATTAATCGATATGGAAATAAAAACAAAGGAAGAAAAACTCCCAAAATTAGAGCTTTATTGTGACATTCGGACCACAACCATGCCTGCTCTAGCGATCATCCTTTCTTGAGGCCTGGCCACTGCCTACTGCAAGCCTCGGGTATATTCTTATCTCTTCTTCTCTTTTGTTATTGTCCTCCCTTTTTGAAGAGTTATAATGGGGTATTTATAGTGAGAATTTCTAGGGTTTAGTGCACTTGGAAATTTCGTAAATACCCTCAATGTTATACCAAGTTTGTGAATAATAAAGCAACTGGCAGTGGTCCCCATTAACATACTAAGGGTATGAGTGCACGCGAGGTTGAAGTTGGGCAAGTGATGTCTGCAGTGTCGTCAAGTTGTGTCAGACTTGCATGATATCTCTCGCCTAGGTAAGAAAATATATTCCTCACTGTCATCTTTTTCTAATCCGTTGGCCCTGACAAACTTATTTTTCTTGACAAATAAATTCTTCCTTCATAATTTCCTGCATCATCACAACCAACAAACAACCTTATTCTTTAGCAGCATCAGTTAAACCAAATATAGTTTGCCTCAGGAAAACATATTCACCACATGCAAATGTATAGTACATACAACTATATGCAACCAATATGCTATGACAAATGGCTTTTAGACAAACAATAACATAAGTAAAAAGACCCAACACACTGTCTTTTACGGAGTT